TCAAATAAATAAATAAAATCTTAAAAAAAAAAAAAAGATTTGTTGTTCATTTATTTTAAAGAGAAAAAGAGAATGGGAGGGAGGGGCTGAGGGAGAGGGAGAGAGAGAGTCCCAAGCAGATTCCCCACTGAGTGTGGAGCCCAGCGCAGGGCTCTATCCCATGACCATGAGATCATGACCTAAGCCAAAGTCAAGAATCAGACACTTAACCCACTGAGCCACCCAGGCACACTTTTAATTTTTAAAAAATTTTTAAAAAATAGGAAGAGGGAACCTTGGGGCACATGCCATTGTTTAAGTTGCAAAAGAGACACTTCCTAAGGAAAGTGAGAAGGAGTAGGCAAGAGAGAATTAGAAGAAGACAGATGTTAGCTGAACCTATTGTGGTAATCATTTCACAATATATGTAAATCAAACCATCATGCTGTGTGCCTTAATCTTATACAGTGATATATGCCAATTATTTCTCAATAAAACTGGAAAAGAGGTGGGGGAAGGAAGGAGGGAGAGGGGGGAGAGAAAGAGAGTGTGAGAGGGAGAGAGAACCAGGAAAGAGAGGACCTCAAAAACCAAGGAAGAAAAGTATTAAAAGAAAAATGGTGGGGTGCCTGGGTGGTGTAGTTGGTTGAGTGTCTGACTCTCGGTTTTGGCTCAGGTCATGATCTGGTGGTTGTGGGATTGAGCCCTGGGTAGGGCTCTGTACTTAGTGCGGAGTCTGCTTCAGATTCATTCTCCCTCTCCCACACCTCTGCCCCTCCCTGCTCACACACGTGTGCGTGCTGTCCCTAAAATGAATAAATAAAATCTTAAAAAAAAAGAAAAGAAAAATGGAACTATGAGGATACATTCAAATAATCTGTGGTTGGCCAGACTGACAAGGAAAGATTAAAGACTGTCTCATAAATCTTCAAGTGCATAGAGCAGTTTATAGAGATGAAAGCTAAATAAATACTTGTTATTAATAGGAGAGGGTGTAAGAATTTCAGAACAATAACACTCTGGAGATAGACTAATGAAAGCTGTTTTGTGTTTTCTGACTCTGGAAATATGTAAGACTAGAGATTTAGCTGTTCAGAAAAGGATGACTGAACACAGAACTCTCAAGAAGCCTTCAAAGTCCCTTATTCTAGAATTCAAAGGGTGTGATTGTGTCAGATATTGTTATATCTCATGGATCCATCAAACAGGTACAATATGGATAAGAATCCTATGCTCTGAGGTCAGGTCCTCATTATGGACTGTAAAAGATTAAACATTTATTTCCCTGATATTGTTAGCTAGATAACAGCTAAACATAGGTGATTTTTAAATGCTCTCAGAGTAGAGTGAAGAGTCATCTGCATAATATGTTACTTTGACATGTCGGTTAGTCTCCCCATTTTCTGATGAACATTACATCCACATTTTTCTCAACTGTATAGTCTCTGCTCTTTTTCATCCCACTGATCCTTTCCTTCTAGTTTACTTTGGGCTGGCTCTCCTGCCTTTTACATAATTCTCAATACTTTTCCTTCATACTATGTGTTTTCTAGTTTTTATGGCCAAAATTTTCTTCTTTAAAAAAATATTTATCTGAGAGAGAGAGAGCATGAAAGAGAAAGAGATCATGAGCAGGGGGAGGGGTAGAGGGAGAAGCAGACTCCCCACTGCGCAAGGAGCCTGATGTGGGGCTCCATCCCAGGACCCTGGGATCATGACCTGAGCCGAAGGCAGATGCTTAACTGACTGAGCCACCCAGGCGCCCTATGGACAAAATTTTCAAGCAGATAATGATCTCATAAATGTTCAGTCCCTAGAAATCATCATCAGGACCATATATTATGTACTGATATAATTGCCATTGTCTAAAGTACCTTTTGCTTTGAATTTGAAGCAATGAATACAAAACCAATATACACAGTTGAACATTGAACAACACAGGGTTGAACTGCACAGGTCCACTTATACCCAGATATATTTTTTTTTCAATAATACAGTACAGTACTTAAAAGTATTTTCTCTTCCTTATGATTTTCTTTATAACATTTTTTTGCTCTAGGTTATTTTATTATAAGAATACAGCATAGAATACTTAAACAAAATATGTGTTCATTGGCTGTTTATGTTATCAGTAAGGCTTCTGGTCAACAGTAGGTTATTAGTAGTTAAGTTTTGGGGGGGTCAGAAGTTATATGCAGATTTTCAACTGTATGGGGTCAGTGCCTCTAACCCCTCGTTGTTGTTCAATGGTCAACTGTATATATGTCACCTCTGCTTCCTAATCCCTGATTCCCTTAGCCTGTCTCCATCAGAGCTTTGATATTTATCCCTAAGATGCTCTTCACTTTTTATATTACCACTGATATTTTCCTGGCCAAGTACCATTGTCTTTTGTTTTGTTTTAGTTTCCATTCTTGATGTCTAAGTTATATTTGATGCTTTCTGATATGTTCGATGCATCTTGTCTTGAAATCTTCCTCTCCCATTCCATGATGCTTTTACCTCTATCTACCAGTCTTCTCTTTTGGAAAGAGTTACTCTCTTCCCCAATGTCACTCCCACACTGGCCCTCGTCACCTGAGGCCCTGACTTCTGCTGTAGCCTCTTCTCCCTGTGGTCGTTCTCTCCTCTCTACTCTGTTTTACATCACCCTCAGGTGAGTCCCCAGTTTTCACCATTCTTTCATTCATCAGATTGTGATGGAACACCTGTCATGTACAGCACTAAACTATCCTAGGGGGAAATCTCCAAAAGGTTAAGTCATGCTCCTTCCCTTTGGATGAACTTATAGACTGGAGTGGCAGGTGCTCTTTGTCAAAATTGTGGAGGACCTTGTAAGCCACAGTAAGGAGTTGGGAGTCCATGTAAAGCCAAGGGGGTGGCTTGATCAGATTGGGGATTAGAAAGATCACTCTGGCAGTGATGGGGATGATGGGATCTGGACAAGGAAAGTAGCAACAGGGATAAGGAGAAATGGACAGATTTAAGCCATATTTAGGAAATGGAATCAGCAGAATGTAGGGGATGGGAATATTAATTCATTCATTAATATTTCTAATGGTGACACTGGTGATGCTTGCAAAGTAGAGAAATAAACATTGTATACAAAAATATAGATAAGGTTAAAAAAAACCCAGGGCCTTTTAAATAGTTAAGCTCAATTAAGTGGCAATTTCAGTTATATGCAAAATTAGGTTACCAAGGTACCTTCTTTTGACTCCTTCTGCCTTCCCTACCCATTGTAGCAATGTTACTTAATTATTTACCAACGTGCCTCTGACCAAACATACCTTGACTTGATTATTCCCATTTCTCACGGTTATCCCAACATGGAATGTGCCTCATCGCTGGCAGTCTGTGCCTTTCACTTTCTTCCATGAAGCCTTTTCAGGTGAATCCCTTACTGATTCTCCTTTTCTCTTCACCCTCTTCTCAGGAATCATGCCTATTGTACAGACTAAGGTACACCGATATCAGAAAACACTTAGCCCACTGCCTGGCCCACAGTATTTCACAAATGGGAGCTACTAATATTACCCTGATATTGTTTTATTTTCTGACCCCCTGGTACAGGGCTTCACGCACGGTAGGAACTCAGTGTTGGGTAGATGGCATGCCCGTTTTATGTTGATCTGATTATAGATTACAGTGTTAATTATACAATGGTAGAAACAGAACTCTTTCAGAAAATAGGTTCATATTTGGTCACCGTGTTTTAGGACAGTAGGTGAAACAATCTTCTTTTATTTGTATTTTATTTTATTTTTTTTAAGATTTTATTTATTTATTTGAGAGAGAATGAGAGATAGAGAGCATGAGAGGGAAGAGGGTCAGAGGGAGAAGCAGACTCCCTGCTGAGCAGGGAGCCCGATGTGGGACTTGATCCCGGGACTCCAGGATCATGACCTGAGCCGAAGGCAGTTGCTTAACCAGCTGAGCCACCCAGGCGCCCTTTTATTTTTATTTTAACTGCGTAAGTAGTTGATCTGTTTCTGATGACTGGAAATTGTTAAATTCTGTAATAGAGATAGTTCTGGAAGTGAAGTAAAATCAGTGTGGAACCCATCAAGAGCCATTTCTAAGATGTCCATTAGTAGTGAATTCCTTACCATTTGATTTTTCTGCTTTTTAACAGAAAACTGTTTTGGGGGAATCAAGATCCTATTTGCCCTATTGCCCAGATTACTTTGAAAGCTCAGCTGACCAAAAGACTGGAGGACCTTGCCCATCCCAAAGAAGTCTCCCACCGATATGTACCTAACAGGTTTGTGTTTGTGTGTTACCAGGTTACTTTATCAGGAGTCCCTAGGGAAAATGAACACAGAACCCAGACCTCTTATCTGAAAGTCATAAATTGTCCAATCTGTAGTGAAAAAATTGTTGAGGATTAAAGATTCTATAGATTTCCTAATCTGATGCTACAGTAAAACTTTTCCAGCGCAAGACTAATATTTAGCTATTGCTAACTTGTATTATATCTTATAATGTTTTGGCTTACTAGGATTTTGAGGGTTTTTTTTTTTTAAGATTTTATTTATTTATTAGAGAGAGAGAGAGCAAGTAGGGAGGAGGGGTAGAGGGAGAGGGAAAGAGAGAATCTCAGGTAGACTCATGCTGAGCACAGGGCCCCACGTGGGGCTCGATCCCATGACTGGAGCCAAAATCAAGAGTCGGCCACTCAAGCCCCAGTCACCCAGGTGCCCCTTGAGTTTTTAATAAAGTGGCAGTATCATGCTGGGATATGTACCATCTATAACATTGTTGTGCATGAACTATTTATACATGCAACTTCTCATGGATTTTATATGCCACCATGGGCTTAATTACCATGAGTTAATTATTACATGTAGTGGTAAGAATATCATTAAGACTTTTGATACCCATTGCCAATTTGCTTTTAGTGCATGTTTGTTGAATGACTAGACTTTCTGCTGGTTGGTTCTTTGAGGAAAGACTGTGGAGCGGGGAGGGGATGAGCACAAGTAGTGAGGGAGGTTAAAGTAACAGGAAAAAGTTGAAGATACCATTATTTATCTGAAGTCTGGTTTCCAAGATAATTGAGGTAGACTTTTGTCTAACTCTTTTTGATATACGACTTTAGTCAAAAGTCAGCAAACTTTTTCAGGACGTGGGTAGATAGTAAAGTTGACTACAAAGTCTCCGTTGCAACTACCCAACTCCACTATTGTAGCAGGAAGCAGCCACAGACGTTATGAAAACTGAGCATGCCTGTGTTCCAATAAAACTAAACTTTTTGCATCTGTGCTTATGAGGTGTATTAGTCTGGATTTTTCTTATAGTGTCTTTGTGGTAATGTCTTTGTTTCTTGTAATGTCTTTTACTTGTTTTTGGTAATTCTGTCCTCACAGAATCGATTGGAAAATATATAGAATTGGCATTTCTTGTTTATGTATTTTATAGAATCCCCAATGAAGTCATCTGGGTCTGGAGTTTTTTGGTGGGAAGATTTTTAAAAATTTTTTTATTTAAATTCAATTTTATGTATATGTTTATACTGTATTGCTAGTTTCAGAGGAAGAACTTAGTGATTCATCAGTTACATATAACACCCAGTGCTCATTACCTCATGTGCCCTCCTTAATGCCCATCACCCAGTTACCCCATCTCCCCTCCAGCAACCCTCAGTTTGTTTCCTAGAGTTAAGAGTTTCTTACAGTTTGCCTCCCTCTCTGTTTTCCTCTTAATTGTATTTTTCCTTCCCTTCCCCTATGTTCTTTGTTTTGTTTCTTAAATTCCACATATGGGTGAAATGATATGGTATTTGCCTTTCTGTGACTGACTTATTTCACTTAGCATAATACCCTCGAGTTCAGGTTTTTAACTATAAATTCAATTTATTTAATAGATACAGGGCTGTTATGAATTTGTCAAAATAATGCTTGTTAAGGGGAGCATGGGGTCCCAGTTCAACAATAGACCATAACAGAAATTGAAATAGAGAAGTTTGTTACTCACAGATCCTAGAAGTACCTGGCATGCCTTGAGGAGTCACACGTGGAGGTTAAAGCATGGTGCAGAGAGAGGCAGGACCTGGGGCACATGCCTTATTCGGGTCTGCAGGTGAAATGCTTTGGGGTTCCTAGACCAAGGCCAGATTGGTCAATTCAAATAAAAGAGCAGGGTTTTGGTAAGCTTCTTGGGACTTATATCTAAAGGATGCATAAAGAAAGGAAGGCATTGGGAGTCAGGAGACTGTTGGTCACAGGGCTATTGGCAAAGTCATATCAGGAATGTACATTTACTTATGACTTGGTGGACTGGTATCTAGGGCATGTGCTTATGAGATGGGGGCTAAGGTCAGTTTAAGGTCCCTGGAGGCTGCTTGGTCAAACAAAATGGGTGCTGCGACAGTAAGACCATGGAATTGCTTTGTAAACTCTTGACAAGGGCTCTTCAGGTTATATCTTTCTGAATGAGCATTGGTAGTATGTGTTTCAATGAATTTATGTATTTCACCTAAGTTTTAAAATTTGTTGGCATAAACTTGTTAATATAGTCTTTTATTTTCCTTTTATTTTCTGTGCAATCTCTAGTGATTGTCTCTGAGAGACTAAGAAGGTATTTGGTTTTAAAAGAAGTAAATTTTCTCTTTTCGTTAGTTATTTTTTGGTCTATTTAAAAGAACACAATTTATTACAGAAAATAATCATCTGTTTTGGAATGGGATATTAAAAGCCAGCTGGAACTTGATGGCTGCAACCATTTCTGATTTCTCTCCATGTGGAGAATAGCTCACAGTAAAGGGGTAAACTATCGTACCTGCTCCTAGCCTAGAGTTGGGGGTCAGCATTGGAAATTACTGTTATTGGAATTCATGCTCGTTTCACTCAGTTCTTTTCTCTTCTGTAACTTCCAGGGCTCAGTATTACTACAGCTGTGGTAGAGAGTCTGTAATCTGGGAGATCCCTTCTCCTGCACTGTTTAGCCAACCCTCCAAAAGGATCCAGAAGCTGGCACTGCCCAACAGATTCAAGAAAGAATATTTAATAAAGAGGTAGAGTACCTTGATAATCTCCATAAATCCTAATTTCATTAAACCTCACAATATTTTTCTTATTTTAGTGTATGTAGTTTCATAAACTAAAAGTCCACTTGTGTTTTAAAGGATCAGGGTAAAAACTCAAATGTATGCAGCAATTGTAGGTAATCAGAGGGTCATCACCAGTAATTACATTAGTGGGGTTTTTTGTTTATTTTTTGAGAGAGAGAGAGAGAGAGACAGCATGCATGAGCAGGTTGGGGCAGGGCAGAGGGAGAGAGAATGTCAAGCAGGCTCCATGCCCAGCATGGAGCCTGACTTGGGGCTCAGTCTCATGACCCTGAGATCACGACCTGAGCTGAAATGAAGAGTCAGACACTTAACCAAATAAGCCACCCAGGCTCCCCACCAGTAATTACATTTGACTCAAATTGTGGTGAAACTAAAATTCACTCTGAATTTACCATTGTCGGCCAATTCAAAGGAAATATGCAAATGAAACATTACAAAATTTTGCAATTTGTAGAACTTGATGTTTCTCTTATGTTTCTGTGACTTTTCAAATGTTTTTCCTTTTGCTTTGAATGCTGAATTTCTCCTTGTTTTTAAAAGAACAGCTGAGGTGATACTTCCACATGGGAGCTAAGATTGTGATGGGGTTGTTGGAAAAATGTTAAGTTGCATTAATGGCATATGTATCATGTACAATCACAGGGAGGTGATAGTACCACAGTATAGTACTTTAGTCAAGACACCTTAAGTGTATGTGTCCACTTGTGGATGCTATACCCTAAGAAACTGATAATAAATTTGAGACTATTCAGAAGGAGCTGAATGAAATGTTGAGGCCTCTGGAAACTATGTTACGTGAAAAATAGTTAAGAGAAATGACATGCTTAACCTAGAGAAAAGACCAAGGAAGCAATGATAGCTGTGCTCAGGTATTGAAAGGGTCAGTGTCTGAACGAAGAAAAGGAGGAAAAGTAAAATTACTTTGTGTTGATCCTAGAACTAAGTCTAGAACAAGAAATTTAACAGAGCAGCAGGCATCAGCTAGGTGTAGGAAAATCTTGCTGACTAGCTCTCCAGTACTGGAAATGTTTATCTGGAAAAGTCAACTGCTGCCTCCACCCCAACCCCTGAAAATGCTTGTTCAAGCACAGGCTGGAATTGTGAGTTTACATGGATTTTAGAAAAGATTCCTGCATTCAGAGAGAAATTGAACTGGACCGCTTGGGTCTTTTTCCATCACAGACTCCACACAAAATTTCTTTGTTTGCTTATTTATCAGTTCATTCAACAAAATCTGCTAATTTAGTTAGAATGTACATATAATCTGAGTTATATAACTATATTCATTTATTTTATATTTTTTATATTTCTGTATTTATAATCCAGAGGAATGCTTTGTTAATATGTCACCACTTTTTAAAATTAATTTTTTAAATTTAAATTCAGTTAATTCACATATAATGTGTTATTGGTTTCAGAGGTAGAGGTTAGTGATTCATCAGTCTCATATAACACCCAGTGCTCATTCCATCACGTGCCCTCCTTAAGGGTAGTCACCCAGTTACCCCATCCCCCCAACGCACCTCCCCTCCAGCAACCCTCAGTTTGTTTCCTATAGTTAAGAGTCTCTTATGGTTTGTCTCCCTCTCTGATTTCATCTTGTTTTATTTTTCCCTCCTTTCCCCTATGATCCTCTGTTTTGTTTCTTAAATTCCACATATGAGTGAGATCATATGATAATTGTCTTTCTCTGATTGACTTATTTCGCTTAGCATAATACCCTCTAGTTCCATCCATGCCATTGCAAATGACAAGATTTCAGTTTTTTGATGGCTGAGTAATATTCCACTGCATATATAAACCACATCTTCTTTATCCATTCATCTTCCGATGGACGACATCTGGGCTCTTTCAATAGTTTGGTTGTTGTGGACATTGCTGCTGTAAACATTGTGGTACAGGTGCCCCTTTGGATCACAATTTGTATCTTTGGGATAAATACCCAGTAGTAATATGTCACCACTTTTTGGGAGACCTGGGGTTGATGTTTCATATAGGTGAAACCCCCTTGAATGTTAAAACTTTCTGTATTTTTAAGTTTTTTCCCCACTTTCCTAAGCAGACTTCTCAGCTACTAAACATACATGTAACCTTTGTTCATTGGCTTGAATCTTTATTATGAACATCAACTCTTATACTTCAATACTGAAAACCTCCCAGGAGCTGTTTAAGTATGAAGCACAGTTTTTCTTTAGGCTAAGTATTCTGACTTACATGCTTTTAGATTATTAAATATTTGCTTATAGTTTTCCTGTCTTTTTTTGGGGGGGGGTCAGGGGAATGGTCTCTAGGCTCTTTTTTAAAAATTTAATTTAATTTCAATTCCAGTGTAGTTACCATACAGTGTTATATAAGTTTCAGGTATACAATATAGTGATTCAACAGTTCAATACATTACTCATTGTTCATCAAGATAAGTGTACTCTTAATCCCCATCACCTGTTTCACCCATCCCCCACCCACCTCCCCTCTGATAACCATCAGTTTGTTCTCTGTAGTTAAACTTCTGTTTCTTGATTTCCTCTCTCTTGTTTTTTTTTTACTTTATCATTTGTTTTGTTTCTCAAATTCTGCATATGGGAGAGGTCATAGGGTATTTGTCTTTGTCTTTCTCTGACTGGTTTATTTTGCTTAGCATTATACTCTCTAGGTCTATCCATGTTGTTGCAAGTGGCAAGATTTCCTTCTTTTTTATGACTGAATAATATTCCATTGTGTACATATACCACATCTTCTTTATCCATTCCTATACTGATGGACACTTGACTGCTTCCATAATTTTAACTAGCCTCTTTTTTCCCAATTCTGTGCATTAGGAACAGATGACTAAGCTTGTTAGAATTGTGTGAGGGGGGAAAAAGCAAGTGTTTAATGAAGACACACAGGGCTCTCCAATAAATGTATTATATGAACTCGGACTTTGTGTCATATATTTTAGCTGATTCACTAGAGGAGCTCAACAGCAGACTTGAATAGTCAGAAGAAAGAATCAGCAAACTTAAGAATAGGTTAATTGAGGCTATCTGAGGAACAGAAAGAAAAAAGAATGAAATAAAATTAACAAAGCCTCATGAACAAGTTGAATTTATCCCAGGAATACAAGAGTATGTTGGAATCAATAGATTACAATCAATATAATACATCAAATTAATAGAATAAGAAAGCCAAAACCATGTGATCACTTCAGTAGACTCAGAAAAATCATTTGACAAAATTCAACACACTTTCACAATAAAAATTCTTAAAAAACTAGGTTCGGAAGGGAATTTCCTCAGCCTGATAAAGGGCATCTACAAAAAACCCACTGCTAACATAATAATTAATGGTGAAAGACTGAATGGTTTCTCCCTAGGATCAGGAATAAGACAAGGATGTCAGCTCTCCCAACTTTTGTTCAGCATCATACTGGAGATTCTAGTTAGGGCAATTAAGCAAGGAAAAGAAGTAAAAGGCATTCAGGTTGGAAAGGAAAAAGTAAAACTATCTCTATTAGGAAGGCACAGAATCCAAGAGCAGTATACAAAAAACAGTTGTATATCCATTAGCAATGAGCAATCTGAAAATGAAGGTAGGAAAACAATTCTGTTTGCAGTAGCAGCAAAAAGAACATTATAATACATGTAATGCCATATTACTCAGCCCTAAAAAGGAAGAAAATTCTGACACATGCTCCAACATGGATGGACCATGAGGACATTAAACTAAATGAAATAAGCCAGTCACAAAAAGACAAATACTGTATAATTGCATTTATATGTAGTACCAACTGTAGTCAAATTCGTAAAGAAAAAAGTAGTATGATGGTTGGCCGGGACTAGAGGGTGGGGGAAATTAATTGTTTAATTGCTGTAGAATTTCACAAGATCAAGAGTTCTGCAGATGGATTACACAACAATGCGAATGCACTTAACACTACTGTACTATACACTTAAGAATGGGTAAGATGGGGGTGCCTTGGTGGCTGAGTCAGTTAGGCACCCAACTCTTGATTTCGGCTCAGGTTATGATCTCATGGGTTGTAAGATCAAGTCCCGTATTGGGCTCCATGCTCAGTGGGGAGTCTCTTTGAAGATTCTCTCCCTCCGCCCCCTCCTACTTGTGCTCTCTCTCTTTCTCTCAAATAAATAAATAAATCTTAAAAAAAAGAATGGTTAAGATGGTAAATTTTATGTTATATGTATTTTACTAAAATTAAAAATAATAAAAGAACAAAATACTTAACAAAAGAAGTTCAAGGCATGTACACTGAAGACTACAAACATTGTTAAAAGAAATCAAAGACTTAAATAAATGGAAAGACATTTCCTGTTCATGGTTTGGAAGTCTTAATTTTGTTATGATGGTAATTCTCTCCAGATTGATATACATATTCAGTGCAATCCCTATTGAAATTCCAGCTGCCATTTTTGGTAGAAATTGACAAGGCAATTCTAAAATTCATATAGAAAAGCAAGGGACCTAGCATAGCGAGAGACAATCTTGAGAAAAACATATTGAAAACTTATTTATTTATTTTTAAAGATTATTTTCTTTATTTATTAGAGAGAGCGAGCATGAGTGGGGGGGGCAGAGGGAGAGAGAGAAGCAGACTCCCCGCTGAGCAGGGAGCCCAATGTGGGGCACTGTCCCAGGACCCTGGGATCATGACCTAAGGTGAAGGCAGACGCTCGACCGACTGAGACACCCACGTGCCCCTGAAAACTTATTTAAAAGCTACAGTAATCAAGACAGCATGTTACTGGCATAACAATAGACATATAAATCTATGGAATAGAACTGAGAGTCCAGAAGTTAATCCTTATATTTATGGTCAATTTATTTTTGACAAGAATGCCAAGACTATTTATTTATTTATTTATTTAATTTTTAAAAAGATTTTATTTATTTATTTGACAGAGACAGTGAGAAAAGGAACACAAGCAGGGGGAGTGGGAGAGGGAGAACCAGGCTTCCCGCTGATAAGGGACCCTGATGCAGGTCTCGATCCCAGGACCCTGGGATCATTACCTGAGCCGAAGGCAGATGCTTAATGACTGAGCCACCCAGGAGCCCCGTCAAGACAATTTAATTGGGGAAGAATAGTCTTTTAAACAAATAGTGCTGGGATAACTGGACATCCAAGTGAAATTGAACCCCTACTTCACACCATACAGAAAAATTAACTTAAAATGGATCACAGGCTGGCTCAGTCAGAAGAGCATGTGACTCTTCATCTCGGGGTTGTGAGTTTGAGTCCTACATTGAGTGTGGAGATTACTGAAAAATAAAAAAATCTTAGGGGTGCCTGGATTAGCTCAGTCAGTTCAGTGTCATACTCTTGATCTCAGCTCAGGTCTTGATCTAAGGTGGATGTGGAGCCTACTTAAAAAATAATAATAATAAAATAAAAAATTTAAAAATCTTAAAAAAAAAGAAAATGGATCACAGACCTATAAATATAAGAAATAAAATTATAAAAACCCTTAGAAAAAAACAAACATCAATCTCTGTGACTTAGGCAATGGTTTCTTAGATATGACAATAAAAACACATGGCAAAAAATAAATTGGATTTCATCAAAAGTAAAAACTTTTGTGCATCAAAGGACACTTTCAAGAAAGTAAAAAGGCAACCCACAAATTGGGAGAAAATATTTGAAAATCATATATCTGATAAGGGAATAGTATTCAGAATATATATATATATATACATATATTTTTAGAACTATACAAAAAAGTCAACACAATTTAGAAAATGGGCAAATTATTTGAATAGACATTTCTCCAAAGAAGACATACAGATGAACAGGAAACACATATGAAGATGCCAAATATCATTAGTCATCTTCGAAATACACATTAAAATGACAAGATACTACTTCAAACCTTCTAGAATGGCAATAATAATAATAATAATAGAAAATAATATGTATTGGTGAGGATGTGGAGAAATTGAAACCCTCATAATTGCTGGGTAGAATGCAAAATGGTGCAGCTTAATTGGAAAACCACTTTCTAGCTCCTCAAAACGTTAAGAATAGAGTTATATGATCAGCATTCTATTTCTAGGCATGTACCCAAGAGAATTAAAAATTTATGCTCACACAAAAACTTGTACATGAATATTCATAACAGCATTTCATTATTGCCAGAAAGTGGAAACAACTCTAATATTTATCATGGATGAATGGTTAAACAAAATGTGGTAAATCATTTAAGGGAATATTATTCAGCCATAAAAAAGAATGATGTACTGCTACATGAATCTTGAAAATATGCTAAGTGAAGGAAGCCAGATACAAAAGGCTACATATTTGTATGATTCCATTTGTTTGAAATTTCTAAAATAGGCAGAGCCATAGAAACAAAATAGATAGTGGTTCTGGGGGCACAGGGTTGGGGGATGAAGTAATGGAGAGGGACTATTAATCAGTCTGGGGGTTCTCTTTGGGGTGATGAAAACATTCTGAATTTAGATAGTGACAGTAGTTACATAACTTTGTGAATATGCTAGAAACCCCTGAATTGTACACTTTAAAAAGGTAAACTCTATGGTATGTTAATTGTGTATCAGTTTTAAAAACTAACAGACTACCCCTAGTGGGTAATCATATATTTATTTGTGAAAAACTTTTTTCATATTAGGTTTGTAGGTTTGTGGTTGGTAGGTTTTTGTACCAGGAAAGGAATATGTGGGGAACAGCCTATGAAAATTGGCCAGGTTGCTGGGAGTTGTGAGCAGCACCATCTCAAACTGCACTGCAGAGGAGACTGGCTATCACAGAGGGGTCCTTGGTAGTGACTGGAATTTTTTATCCCAGGGATTTAATATGATGTTTTAGTAGGAAGTGAAGTTTAAACTGCAAGCCTCAGCCCATCAGTGGATCATGAAATTGATTCAAGTTTTTTTTTAATGAAATCAAATGAAATTTTAAAAATCAGAATACCTCGCTCAGGGCAAGCATTCTTTCATAATAATTTTGTTTCAGATGCATGCGTGTACGCATGTGCGTGCACACACACAGATTTACATATACTGTATCACAATATAACTTCTTACTGTGGATCATAGTAAAAAAAACTTTAGGAAATACCAATCTGGTAGAAAAAAACACTAATGATTATGGGAAAAGAAGTTTCTGAGATAGGAAAAATTATACATAATTGATCAGAGGTTGAGTACAGCAATGAAAAAATGCAATTATTTTTCCTCCAATGATTATAATATTTCATGTTCCATTTGCATATAGGCCTTACAGTGATTACTTAACAAGAGATTCTCTTCAAATCTCTTATCCTTCTGCCCGGATATTACAACTCTCAATACCCAAGGCCACAAATCCAAACTACGTTCCTCCAAAAAGGGTAAGTCCTTCTGAAAGAAACAGTTCCTGATTGATTTTAACAACACGTTTATAACTGTAACATGCTCTCCTCTTATTTCTAGGTATATTTTACTTTTCTCCCTGTTTATTTTCCCCTCTCATCAAATGAACTTTTCTGACTACCTCCTCTATGCCTACTCTGTCACCTAGGATTTGATCAGAGAAACAGAACAACAATGCAGAATTAGACCTTAAGCAATTATAGAAGCTGATAGAGAAGTCCATGGAAGGCTGTTTTGGCAGTTGGACCTTGGGTCTGGTTATAAATCTAGAAGCAATGACAGATAGTAAGGACAGGTCAGCAGTTACCTGGAAGGTATCCACCTCAGGGGAAACTATTACAGGTTCATCAGGCAAGGGGACTCTAACGCCTTCAGGCAGGGGAAGTATGGCTGATTTTATTGGTAAGGAAGGCTCATCAGTATTTAGGGGCTTAAAGTCCCCAGCTTTGTTGGAACCTGCCCATATATCCCTATCCCAATTTTCAAGGTCCTATTCCTTCCCAATCATTGCTCTAACTTTAACATAGGAGACCATACAAATTTGGTAATTCAATTTGCACTGTAATTAACCCACTCACAGAATTCGATTGTGAGTTTGGTTTTCAGAATTTTCAGCCCTACGACCATAGAATATAAAGGTTTCTTTTAGGGAAGTTACAGAAACTTTCTGGTCCCTTACCCAGACATTAAGGTGGGAACTTAGAGGCCCGAGCCAGTCATTTCTTAACTTACTTTCTCTATGCACTTTGAGACAACCAACTAGGGAAGCCTGGGTGGCTCAGTCGGCTAAGCATCTGCCTTCAGTTCAGGTCATGATCCCAGGGTCCTGGGATCGAGTCCCACATCAGGCTCCCTGCTCCGTGGAGAGCCTGCTTCTCCCTCTGCCTGCCGCTCCCCCTGCTTGTGCTCTCTCTCTCTCTTTCTCTGACAAATAAATAAATAAATAAAATCTTAAATAAAAAGAAACAACCAACTAATCCCATTATACTTGTTTATTTCACTAAAATAATTTCTGGCAGCAGCTGCCTGGTCACCCAAAGTTTTGCTTTTTGTTTTGCCACTGTGTGCTATGGACTACCAGTATTTTTTTTTTTTTTTAACTACTGGCAAAAGGATCATTAATACCTTTAAATCCAATCAGCTCAGAAAACAAATTCCAGATAATCTAGAATCAATACAGAGAACCAGTTCTTAAAGTTGTGATTTGGTTATCTGTTGCTTCCTACCAAAGCACCCCCAAACTTAGTGGTGTAAAACAACAAGCATTTTATTACGCTCAAGGATTTTATGAGTTAGAAATCTCTCAGCTGGGATATCTCTAATGGCTTGGTTGTCTGAAATGGTAGGGGGCTGAAAGTTCCTACACACCTACCTTAGTCAGCTAGGGCTGCTATAACAAAATACCAAAGACTGGGTGGCTTGAAAGACATTTATTTCTCACAGTTCTGGGGACCAAGAAATCCAAGATCAAGGTGCCACCAGATTCTCTTCTTGATGAAGATCCTATTCCTGGTTTGCAGCCAACCACCATCTTCCTGTGTGCTCACATGACTTCTTTGTGTGTGCACAGAGAAAGAGTTCTTATCTCTCTTCTTATAAGGACACCAATCCCACAATGAGGGTTCTACCCTCATGACCTCACCTAAACCTAATTACCTCCCAAAGGCCTCACCTCCTACTATTATCACATTGAGGATTAGGACTTCAATGTATGAATTTGAGGGGGACATAAAGAGTCTGTCCATAACAACATCTATATGGTGCCCAGGCTGATGTGACTTAAAGGCTAGACTCAGTTGGGAATATTCACAGGAGCACTTTCATGGGGCCTCTCCATGTGGCTGAGACTTTTCTCAGCATAGCGGCTGTATTCTGAGAAGGAATATTCTAAAATGGAGTGTTTCAAGGGTGAGCATTCCAAAACAACGGTGGCAGCTGCATGTTTTTTATGATTTGGCCTTGGAAGTCACATAATGTCACTGCAGTCATACTCTGTTGATTGATACAGTTCCAAGTTGCCAGATTCAAGGGGGCAGGGACACAAACCCCACCTGTCAATGAGAGAAGTGGCAAAGAATTTATAGCCACTCAAGAAAAAAACCTTGGTATCCTTGAGCATGGTTTTGTATACAGAAAAGTCTGTTCAGAGGTATGCTCTTGATTTAAATAATTAATAGTCCAAAAGAAGAAGATAGCAGGAGGGGAAGAATGAAGGGGGGGGATCGGAGGGGGAGACGAACCATGAGAGACTATGGACTCTGAAAAACAAACTGAGGGTTTTAGAGGGGAGAGGGGTGGGGGGATGGGTTAGCCTGGTGATGGGTATTAAAGAGGGCACGTTCTGCGTGGAGCAGTGGGTGTTATGGACAATGAATCATGGATCACTACATCAAAAACTAATGATGTAATGTGTGGTGATTAACATAACATAATAAAAATAAATAAATAAAACTTTAAATTAAAAATCTGTTTCTTAGGCTTTTACATTTAGCTTGCAAATTTTATCACTCTGTTTATAATTCTAGCAGTTTTTAACAATGACTTTGAAGAGTTCTGAATAATGTTTGATTTGGTTTCTAAATGTAATCAAATACCTTCAAATAATTTAAATTATATTTATTAATATTTTAATTTGATTTCTTTTTTAAGCATTTTACTCCAACCATCTACATTAACAAACAAAATTTCAAATATTAAATAACTATTTAAGAATTGAATACATCAAATTTATAAATATGGTGAACTTAAAGTTTCAATGTTATCAGAATGACATAAACTTAAGATTTCAACTTAATGTTATAATTCTAAGTCAAATACTCAATTATACGTTTCAAGTTGCAGTTGTAGGGTGATCACTCTAATAGGCCAAATTCTCTTAAACATGGACATGCTTTTATTTTGTTTTGTTTTGTTTTGTTTTTAGTAAGCTCTACACCCAATGTGGGGCTCAGACTCACGACCCCAAGATCAAGAGTCACATGCTCCACTCACTGAGCCAGCCAGGTGCCCTCATGCACATGCTTTTAATTTTAATAATATACACATACTTTTTATTTTAATAATTTCTAAGTTACTGAAAAAAATGCAAGAATTAACATTTTGTTCCATTTGTTTTTTCATTCTCTCTCCTTCATGTAGGGTGTGTGTGTGTGTATTTAATTTTTTTCCTGAATCATTTTTGAGAGGTACAGACATCATACACCCATTTTCCTAAATACTTCAGTGTGTATTTCTTAAGAACAAGATCATCATCTTATGTAACCACAGAATTATCAAAATCAGGAAGTTTAATTGATAAATACTCTACTCCATGGTCCATGTCCAAATTTCATCAATTGTTGCACTGCTTATTCTTTTTTTTTTTAAAGATTTATTTATTTATTTGAGGGAGAGAGAGAGAGCAGGGGGAAGGGGCAGAGGGAGAGGGAGAGAGAGAATCTCAAGCAGACTTCCCACAGAATGCAGAGCTCGACACAGAGCTCCATCTCACAACCCCAAGATCATGACCTGAGCTAAAATCAAGAGTCAGACGCTTGACAAACTGAGCCACCCAGGTGCCGCATTGCACATACTTATTCTTAACACAAAGAATGATTAATTCTATGATTTTGATTCTCTTAACTTTTTTACAGTTAATGCTGAATCTTCCCAGAGTTTTAAAATACACATTCCCACAAAGGAAGCCAAGTTACTGTCACAGGTACCTTAGGTTACTTGTCACCAGAGACTCTGGATGGATGAACTGTAGAAGGTCTTTTTTTTTTTTTTTAATTTTATTTATTTATTTGAGAGACAAAGAGTTTGAGACAGAGAGCATGAGCAAGAGGGAGGGAGAAGCAGGCTCCCTGCTCAGGGAGCCCGACGTGGGGTTTGATCCCAGGACCCCAGGATCATGACCTGAGCCGAAGGCAGACGCTTAACTGACTGAGGTACCCAGGCGCCCCCGTAGAAGGTCTTTTACCTCTGTGAATGTCATACTGAGTCTCTTTTTATGGTAACTTTGTCAGAGACTACAAAACATAAAAAGGGTTGGTTTCATAACTCAGTTCATATCCATCATTCTCTCTACTTATAGATGTCCGAAGCTCCTATTCAGACTAATCAACCTGTGTAGATTTTTAAAATCGTTGACTCAGGAGATTTTGACTTTGAAGACTCTTATTTTATATTTAGCAGATACCTTTGAGTATTGACCACCTGTACTCTGCATATCTCACATGGCTTTGTCTAACTAATTTATAAGGTCATTTTACCAACATGTGCCTCCTCCATCATTTTCAATCTGATTATTTTCTGAGAACAAAAATTTGAGAAGTAAAGTTACCAGATTAAGTGTATGAACATTTTTGAGGTGATTCATATATTATCCCAAAATGTGTTCCAACAAAAGTGATTTTGATTTACATATTCACTTGCATTATTTGGGCTGACTTTTACACTGCACTCTTGCCAACATTAGATATTATTTATTTTAATTTTAAAAAATGCTATCTCGTTAATAAAAACACTTTCATTTTTCTGACTACTAATAAATTTAATAGTTCCCAACATTTATTTACCTGTGTAGTTTTCTTTTGTAAACTTGTCTATTCATGGCTTTATTTTTCTACTGGTCTGTGTATTTTTTATTGATTCATAACAGTTCTTTACATATTAGAGGTATTCTTTGTCATATGTCTATGTATTTTTCCCAGCTTGTATTTTGAAATTCTGGAGTTATAATTTATATAAAATGCATAGGTCTTAAGTGTATAGTTTAATGAGCTTTTAACAAATGTATATATCCATTCAATAACCACTTCAATCAATATACAAAACATTATCCCCCAAATTTTCCTCCTGTTTCTAGTCAATTCCACTTTACCCCTGCCCTAGAGTCAACCACTTCCAGATTCCTATCACTATAGATTAGTTGTATTTCTTATTCTTTGTAGGTTTATATAAGATTTATATTATTTCTTCCTCTTAAATATTTGATAGAGTTTACTATTGAAGCAATCTGGGCTTAGTGTCTGTACAATTCCATGAAGTACTAATTAATCATTTCCAATAAATAAAGCTTTGTCTCCTATCAGACTCTGGGAAAATCAAAGAAATATATGACAACCGCTGTTTTCAATTAAGGCTTATAATCAAAAAAGGAAATAAATCATTCATTTACTCAATTCTTTGAACAAGTATTTCTTAATCAATTATATAATACAGGATACAACAAGAATAATAAAACCATTCCTTTCCTTAAAGTAAATTTCAATTTAGAAGAAACCATAGACCTATAGGTAAATAATTAAGATTGATACTCATAAAAGAGAATAAATAAAGTATTGAGAGATATCAGAGGAAGAGTGGGAAAATCCAAGAAAGATTCTCTTATCATGGAATTGTGGAAACAGATAGGATCTTAGGTTTGAATCCCAGCTGTGCAACCTATTCACTATAAAAACTTAAGTAAATTTCTGAACTTCACGTAGTACCTTAGTTTCTCCATGAGTGAAATGCAAATAAAAATGATACCCTAGGTGAGGAATAAATGAATTAGTACATGTAAAACATTGTCAGTATCATCATTGTCTTAAACAACACAAAAAGGGATTTGCAACATACCTTCTATATTATTTTTCTGCCCACAGTTAAAACCTTATTTTATTTCCAATTATCGATTATATTCCCTCTCAAAGTCTTGTGGTAAGTTTTGAGTTTGAATACTAGTAATTGAAATAGAAGACCATGTAAATTGAACACATTTCCACAATTCAGATAGTGAGAAATGACTAGGGGGACTAACAGCATTGTCTATGGAGAATGTGATTCTGCCTTTCTTCCTCTTGGCTTTGGTTTCTTTTTCTTACCTGTTCCAATTAGAAGAGAACCACTTGAATTCATTTTAAGTATGGGGATTTGTGATAACGTGAGTCCCAGTTTCCAAAGGGCAAAAGCAGTTAAGAACAAAGCAGAACTCCCCCCCGCTTAGAGAGTGTTCTCATGTAGTAGGCCTGAGCCTTCCCTCTTGGCTGAGTTTTTCATTCCACAAATCAGCATTACCATTTATCTCTTAGTCAATATGTAATGTTGCCAATTCCTCCCCGTCTTTAGTTTAACAGTAAGTTCCTGAAAAGCTGGGTTGGATTTCATAAACCTAGTTTGAGAAAGATGAAAATTGATCGTTTCAGCTATGATCATGGGTTACTGCAAGACTCTCATCCTTTCTGCTGGATTTGCTGAGAAGTCTGGTCCAGAGGTCAGACAGTTCTTTGTAACCGTGATGGAGATGGTATTTATTATTTGACACTTACAGACCCTATTTTGTTTTTCTCCCCTAGATTGAAACCAAGATTTCAGTTCCTGCCCTGACTGCTGTTGCAACTCCAAGAACTGTAGACCTTGCCCATCCAAGGATCAAGATAGAGGGTCTGTGCTTTGAAAGAGAACGAAGTGAACTGCCCATCCGTCCTGTAAGCCACCACTGCCTTGGCATCCTTCATCTTACTTTTTGGTTGTTCCTAGGGTGCTATTTTGCTACTATAGGGCGTAGGCCAAAGTCATTGGGAAAGATAATCTTGCAAGAGTGGTCTGTGGCAGGAAGGAAGACCTAGCTGCAAGCTATGTAGAGAGACTGGGGATAGAGGGCAAAGAGCATGGGCTTTGGAATCAGTAAGAGCTGGACTCAAATTCCAGCCTCACCACTAGCTCTGTGATGTTGTGACAGTGTTCCTGAGCCTTATTTATTCATTCAAGTATTTGAACGCCTACTGTGTGCCAGCCACCATTCCCAGTGAACAAGATGGAGAGAGACAAAAAATAAGGGTCGAAGGCGATGAAGAAAATAAAATAGGAAATGATTGACTATGGGCGAGGGTGGGGAATAAGCTACTTTGTATATGGTAGTCAGGGAAAGGCTCTCTGAGGATGGGATATCTGGTGTGAAACCTGAGTGACAAGAAGGAGTAAGCTAGGTGAAGGTCTGAGAAAAGAATATTCTAGTAAAGGGAAGAGAATGTGCCAGAGTATTAAAGTGGGGATGACCTTGAAGTTGGGTGGAACAAGGTGAGCAAAGAGATTATAAAGTTAACAGTTCTCACTGGGAGGTCTGTTGTGATTTGAAATAATAGAGAAGGCATTGGTACTCAGCATAGAGCCTCGCACATTCAGTGACTTCCCTCCCTCTTCCTCCTTGACACTCCCATCTATTCATTGTAGTGGCAACTTGGTGCCCAATACCCACTGAGTTTTCAGTAAATATCTAATGACCATGTTGCCAAGGAGGTTGGATAAATTTTACCCTCTAAGAACTAAGGATATGATATGGAATTCAGTTAGGAAAGAAAACTAACCTGGGATTCAGAACCCCTCAGGAAATCGTCTTGAGTTTGCTAAAGTGACTTGCCTTGTGACCCTTGGACAAATCACTTTATTTTCAGTTTTTGGTATATAAAATGGGGGTTACAGTTATTTTTCTTTAGTTGCCAGGTTTGTTTGGGAGTTTATAAAAAAATCTTTTTAAAAAAGTGATACCACTGCAGATAATCATACTTTTAGAACCCCAAACAAGTCCATACAAGTGCAAAATAGTACCTTCAGGGCTATGGAGGGGTGTTTGTTATCCATCATGATTCTTTCAAGTGAGCATTTAAGAGAGAGAGAATAGGAGCTATATGTCATCCTTCCAATTTTACCAATTAAGCAACATAATAGAAGGGCAACCTGGCAGGTGCGATTTTCAAAGACCAGCAGGAGTTGGTCAATCAGTCAATCAACATATATTCTGCACCAGTTATGCATTTACTCTAGCTTTTGGCAAACATGTATTTCTTTCAAGAAGTTTATATTCTAGTGGGGAGAAGCAGACAATAAACATACGAACAAAGAGATAACTGAGCAAAGTGAGGTGTTGGTAGATGCTTTAAAGAAGATTGAATAAGTGTACTGTAGAGGAGGGTTATCAGAAAGGTTGATGTATCTTGGATGGTGAAGGAAGATGTCCTTGAGAATGTGATATTTGAGTCTAGAGACTTGAATGATGAAGAGGCAGCCATGACAAAGTTGAGGAAAGAGGCTTTCAAGCAGAAGAACTAGCTGCAAAAATCCTAAGGTGGAAAGAGCTGGATCAGAGGGGCTTTGTGTGGCACGGATCATCGTGATGAAGGTGGGGAGGGGAGGCAGATGAGGTGAGAGCGATGGGATAGCAATCAGATCACGTAGGGCCTTCTAGGCCACAGTAAGGAGTCTAAATATTATTCATAGCAAAATGGGAAACCGCTGGAAGGTTTTAAACCCTGAGAGTGACATAATCTGACTTGGGCTTCAGAAAGTACATACCTCATAGGGTTATTATGATGATTAAGTGGGAATAATGTAGGTACGCCACTTAGAACACTGTCTGGCTCATGGCATGCACTCATTAAATGCTCATTCTCTTCCTCAGTAATTGATATGTGAAGGGTAGATCGTACAGAGCAAAAATGGAAGCAGGGAGACTAGTGAGGAGTCTGCTGCAGTAATCCAGGAGAGAATTCTGGATGGTGATTCAATTAGGGCCATCACTGTAAAGAGAGGGAGATGTGAAAATTGGGATATATTTCTGTATCTTTTTGCTTCCACTATAGATATCCCGTGCTGCCTTGCTATACAAACCTAGCCCTCGAATAATAGCTCTAGCTAAGGCCAGGCCTCTTCATCAAGATTATCTGCCTGACCGTGATGCCCACTGGCCAGTATCTTATGCTGCTATCCGTTGCAAAATATCTCCCAGAATTCAAGAACTAGCTAACCCAAATACAAGGTATGTCAATTTATTGCTAAGATGGGACAGGAAAGCTGGGGGTGCTAGGGAGAGGGAAAAATTAACCTAATAAGACCAATGAAAATAATCGTAGAAATACGAGAAATTTTCAAAAACATCTCACTTGTTACATTAATTGTGTAATTAATTAATTGTGTAATTAATATAATTACACAATATAATTACGGTTTTACCATAAATATAAGGCAACAGTTAAAGGATTAGTGGACTAGTATTGAAACTTAGATATAGGAAACAACTCTGTAAGGATGGATATGGGATTATTTATCTAACGTATTGTTAAGTGAAACAAGTACATAACAGAGCACACAATGCTAAGAATACTCTAAGAAAATAGGTATGTGCCATATATTTGCTTGCAGGAGCCTATGATCCCAGAAGAGTATGCAAGAAGCTAGTAACAATGCTTACTTTTGGGGGGCCCGAGGGAACTGGGATGGGAGGAAGATTTATTTTTTATTAAATAGGGCTTTTGTGTTTTTCCCTGTTTTTGTATCATGTACATGTATGACCTACTTGAAATAAATATACATTCAACAAAGAAGAAATGGACTCTAATTCCTGTTTACTTTTTAGAAGATTTCTTAACTTGCCTGAACCTCAGTTCATATTGTTTCCTTCATGAGATTATGCCTGATTCCCCTTTTAAGCATCATCAGGAAAACCTAGGAGAAGATGAAAAAGTCGCAGAAGTCTTCAGCTCAGGGAACAGGGAATATATTCATTCTTAAATAATATTTTTAAATTGTTATAATGTGTTTTGCCTTTAAAAGAAATAAAGTTCAACAGCAATGAAACGAAGCTCATTCTCTGTTCATTGACAAAGGAAAGGGAAAAATAAGATCAAGTACTCAGGGTCTACCCCAGTGGCAAAGTTATTATTTGGTGGTAAGGTGCTAAGGGTGGGAACTTCAAAAATTTGATTTAAGTCCACCAGAGGACTGCTGGGCTTGTTTTAACATTGCCCAATTATTGAAAACTTTCCAGAATTAATTTTCTGTGGAAAGAGCCAAGGCTTTGGAATCTGATAGATACATGAATCTGGATTTGACCACAGGTCATTTTTATAACTTCCCTGAGCCTTCATGTCCTTCTCTGTACAATGGGGGTCATGACACCTGTTTCATGGGGCACTTATGAAAAATCAAAACAGAATAATATCATAGAGCCTAACACACATAGTGGATGGTTGAGAAATGTTAGTTCCATTTTCTGTTCATGTTTTTTCAGGTCGCATTCTTTTTCCCCCATTTCAGGTCTCCCGTACACATTATATATTATGATCCAGATGTCTTTAAAGTCAAGCCAGCTGCTTTGAAAACACAGTGTTCTCCAAGGATCCACGAGTTGGCAGAACCTCTTGTGCGTTAAATACAGAAAGCCACGTCAGTCAGACTCTAGTTATGTGTCTAGAAAACATAATAGGTGACTTAGTTCCCTACTCTGGTCCCATCACCTTGTATTCCTGTATCCCCCCAAAAACCATAGAGACCCCCAGGGAACACCACTGTGACCATCGAATAGCAATTTCTGCTGTTACCTGTAGTCATGTCTTTAGCAGATTTGGAGACTCGAGCACGCAATAAAAGAGAAACTGAGAGCCTGCCTTATCCTTACTTTATCTCCTCACAAGCATCTTGGCCATCTCATTGCTCTGACTGACCTAAAGAAACACTTCCTTATGTTTGCTGGGTTTGTTTTTCTTTTCCTGGAGAGATCCATATTCCCCAGACTCTGCTCAGTCCCTGCTCTAATAAGTCCTGGAAATTGAAATAATTCTTTGTGTTGCTTTTCCAACCTCCCCTCCTTAATGGAGAAGTAACACTGAAATGGCAAAGCCTTTTGGGATAACCTGAAATGCATTTCATAATCTGTAGATGAAATTTAGGGAACAGGTTACCTTAAATAATCACCCCTGCCCCAATCTCCGTTCCTTCTCTCAGGCTGCGTCATTTATCAGGAATGACAGAAAAAGCAAGGTATTTGGTAAGCATTATAATTCTCTGTCAAATTACATCTGCCCAGAGTTTTTTTTTTTAATTTAATTGTTTTATTCTCTCCATGGATCAGTATCTTACAAATGAAACTAAGTTTCATGACATATCTAGATTTACATGAAAATGAACTTATCTGAAAACCAATTTTACAGATGGATGAGTTCTTTGTGTTAAGGAAATAGTGTTATGGAGAAGCAATATGATATAGTAGTTTTTAACTTGCATTTTGGAATCAGGCAGACCTGGCTTAGTCTCCCCCATGGATCATTTATGCCAGGTATGTGATTTTGAACAAATTTCCTACCCCCCCCGTGCCTGTTTCTTTATGTGTAAAATGGGTTCTGCTGCATTATTATAAAGATTAAATAAGAAAATTATGGGGGCGCCTGAGTGGCTCAGTCAGTTAAGTGTCCAACTTGTGATTTCGGCTCAGGTCATGATCTCAGGGTTGTGAGATCAAGCCCCTCATCCAGCTCTGTGCTCAGTGGGGAGTCTGCTGCTTTCCCTCCCTCTGCGCCTCCCCCTACTTGCACTCCCTCTCTCTAAAATAAATAAATCTTTTAAAAAAAAATGTAAAAAAGTATGAATTGGGAAAAAATTGTTTACAAATTTAGTTCCTTTGGTCTTCTAAGAGGGGAGTGGCATAGTTCATATCAATGGGAAAATAAATATCTTTATGGCTTGATTGATATATTGAATGAATGTTTGTTGAGTGTCTTTGCTTTGCCAGGCACTGTGCCAGGCATTGGAGATAATCACACTAACCCCAACAGATGTGGGCTCTGCTTTCATGGACTTTTTAGCCAATTGGGAGAGATGGATGTAATTCAAATATTCACAAATGTAAAATTACAGCAGTGGCAAAGTGCCATGGCAGAGAGGTTATAATGCTATGAAATAACAGAATAGAGAACTCTGACTCCCTTGGGAGGGCAAAGGAAGACTTCTTTAATGAAGGGACAATTGGGCTGGAATCTAAACATTGAGTAAGGTTAACTAACCAAGTAGGGGATGGGAAGTCAGTCCAGGTAGTGAGAACATGTGTTTAGTGGACATTTGTTGATTTGTGGGCCATCCTGCATCCATTTCTCCTCCTTCTGGTAAGAACTCCCAATTTTCTTTTGGAGAATTACTTTGTCTTCATTGTTTAAAGCTTTACTGGTACTTTTTTAAAAAAATATTCACTTTCAGAGAGAGAGAGAGCACACAAGCGGGGGATAAGGGGCAGAGGGAGAAGGAGGAGCAGACACCCCACAGAGCAGGGAGCCCAAAGCAGGGCTCAGTTCCAGGACCCTGCTATCATGACCTGAGCCAAACGCAGACACTTAACTGACTGAGCCAGCCCGGTGCCCCTGGGCTTTGGATCTTACATAGAGTCGTGCAAGGGGTCGGGGGTATGGTTGGAGCTGATATTTCCCAGGAGTGGTGCCCTGATGAGACTTCATTTTGCTCCTACCCCCTGTGTCCCTGGAGCTACCCTGACCCTTCACCTATTCCTTTCACTCAGGAGCTGCCCACAGCCTTCTAGTAAATCCCCTGTGGCAGGTGGGCAGATGTATTGGGGACTGAAAGAAAGCCGGTTTCACTCAAACAGAGGTAAAACGGGGTTACATGATGCAAGAGGAGCAGAAGGATGAAGCCAGAACATGCAGGGCCCTGGAGGCCATGTTGAAGACTTTAATTTTTATCCTAAAACCTGTGAGAGTTGTTGAAGTAAGCACAGGGATAATGTAATCAGGGTTGCTTTTTGAAAAAATCTCCTTGGACAAAAAAAACTTGGAGAGGAGACAGTAGAAGTAGGTAGACCAGGTTAGGAGGCTATTTAGTAGATCGGATGAAAGATGAAAATAGTTTGGTGGTACCGTAGTAGAGATGGAAAGAAGTGACAAACTTGAGAGAGATTTGAGGAGGTGAATTTTTATAGGATTTGATGATGGGTTGGATATGATATGGGAGAGAGGGAAGCATTTAAGATAATTCCTGGATTTCTAAACTATGAAATAAGATAGAAGTGTCTTAATATACAAATGGACAATGGCCTGGTCATAAATGACAATAGAACTCTGACTTACAACCTTTGCAGCGACCACCAGATCAGGAATCTAAACCACAACCTCTGTAGCAATTAGCCCAGAAGGGTCAGGATCTGGTCAATGGTCCTTACTGGTGCCTATTTTTGGCCCCACTTCCAAGTCAGGGCCAACCAGAGAGAGCCAAATATACTCCCTAAGCCAGTCACACAGGATGCCCTATTTCTAGTTAGCTCATCTCCAACTTCCCCACGCCAGCAGCCTTTAATCAGAGCATACCCAAAGCCTCCTCCGTGTCCCCTCTAAAGCTTTAACACTCCTCTGCCTTTGAATCTCTGCCAAATGCAAGCGATGATGGCTGACTCACAATAGCAAGTTCTAAATAAATAGCTTGGTGTGTCTTCATTTGGGTAATCTTTATTTCCACAATTTATCCCTTCACTGGGAGAGGACCAGAGGAGGAAAGTAGAAAAGCATGTGTTTAGTTCTGGAACTTAGATGAGAGGATGCCTTTGAGATGCTTTGGGCTCAAAGTAGATGCCAGGTGCAGGGCTATCTTATGACTTGCATGGCCTCTAGGCATTTTGCCTTTCTTGGTTCTTCCTTAAAATAATATGAAAAATTATATTTTATGACTGCATTGGTATAAAGATGGACATATTAATATTATATATTAAAAATATTTTTTACTGAAAGTTTCTTTTTCCCTTCTCATTTAAAACTACATTTTTGTGAGCTCCTAAAAATACTATGAGCTATAGGCATTGGGCCTACTGTGCCTATCTGAGGAGGTCGTGGCCCATGACCTCCCCTGGCAGCAGAGACATACCACAGGCAGTAAGGAGAGGGAGCCTGAAGATACATGTTCTTTCGTAATTTGTGTTGGTTTTTCTTTTCCATCTGGGAGGGGCTGCCAGATGGGAAACTTCCCCACCCTTAGCAGCATGCATCTGCCTGCCGGCTCTCTGTTGCCAAGGTGTGGTCAGCTAGAACTTCCAGGACGTTAAGCATCCTGGGCCGGACTGCAAGACAGGGCAGGCATAAGACTGGGGACAAAGAAAGGTGGCTGTGTGCAGTAAGGGAGCAGAAAGAAGCAGTTTGTTTTCAGTGTGAAGCGGTGGGCAAAGTCACCCCACGCTAGGGTCACAATGGTGGCGGTCAGGCAGCCACTCTGTGGAAAGTGGCTGTGGCTCAGGCAGGTGGACATCAAAGGAAAACAGTAACAGACCCCAGGTAACACACCTCTTTTTGTTTAACAATTTATGCAGGTGGGAGTGCCTCGGGGTTTAGAGAGTTGGAAAGCACCACATTCCTGCCTTCAGCAAGCTTAAAGCATAGCCTAGCTCGGGAAGCCATTTTGAGTTCCGAGATCATCACCACATGATTGACGATTGGGGAGAAAGAATAAGTGACTTTATTGTATGATTTCAAATATATAGGGAGGAAATGTAGACTTGTGGCTGGATGTGTACTTTCTGGAAGAAGAATGCAGGATTTCAACCCTGGACCCACCACTCACTAGCTCCGTGTCTTCAGATAAATTAACCAACCTTTCTGGGCCTCAATTTCCTCACTTGTAAAATGGCGGTAAGAATAGTACTGTCAAATGTTTTCCCTCAAAGCACCACCAAAGAGCTTGTGAATGAGGCAAAGTTGAGTTTATAGCTTACTAAGATAAGGGAGATCTGTACCTTCATAGAATGTTAGCCACATCTGGTAAGGAAAGGGCAGTGGCGAGGTATTTATGAGTTTGGGATCAGTTAGGATTGGGCACAGATTGATAGAGATAGCAAGGCAAGAGTTTCTGAAGGAGTCTTTGAGAATTAATGAGACCAGTGAAATACTTTCAGGTTAATAACAAAAGTTATTTGCAACTTTATCTTTTTAGGCAAGAGTTTCCTAAAGCTATACCATTGAAGGCAGTAGCATAGTGAAAGTCATGTTAAGGTAGAAAGTAAACCGTGTTGGGGTACAGGCACATCTCAGAGATATTGCAGCTTTGGCTCCAGGCTACCACAATAAAGTGAATATTACAATAAAGTGAGACAGATTTTTTAGTTTCCCAGTGCACATAAATGTTTATACTATACTGTATCTATTAACTATGCAATACCATTAATGTCTAAAAAACACTGTACATATCTTTTTAAAAAGATTTTATTTATTTATTTGAGATAGTGACCACAAGCGGGGATTGAGGGGGAGAGGTAGAGGGAGAAGCAGACTCCCCACTGAGCAAGGAGCCCAATGAGGGGCTCGATCCCAGGACCCCGGGACCATGACCTGAGCTGAAGGCAGAGGCTTAACTGACTGAGCCACCCAGGTGTTCCTACACTGTACATAT